CATACAAGTTGCTATGTACTTTTTAAAAAAGTTATTGAATTTCCAGGAGGTTTATAATATTTTTGTTTATGCATTGTCTTAAGTGTGTTTTACTTAGAAAAATAAGAATCTCTCCTTTTCCCTATTGCTCTAGGACTCTTTATTTATTTGTTTATTTTGCTTTTTGGGTCACACCTGGCGATGCACAGGGGTTCCTCCTGGGTCTGCACTCAGGAATTATTCTGTAGGGGACCATTTGGGATGCTGGGAATCAAACCCGGATCGGCTGCATGCAAGGCAAATGTCCTACCCACGGTGCTATCGCTCCAGCTCCTAGGACTCTTATTAATCAGATGAATAAAGTACAATTGATATTCAAAATGATTTTAAGCTTAGATATTTTGAAACATTTGAAGGGTAGGTAGCAATAATGGTAGAAGTCCACTTGTGAAAAATGAATATTGGAGTTTAAGAAAGACATAAATGACTAGCAGCACCATCTGACTCATTGATACTGTATTAGCATCCTAGCTACACAGAATGGAAGAGGCTCTTCAGGAGTATGAAGAAGAAATACATTTGAAAAAAATAAGCTTTATGTTTATTTATGTTTGTAAAGTTTGGACAAGTAGTTGCTAGAGGTAACTTTTAGAACATTTCTAGGTGCTTTGGAGTTTAGCCATATTTTCATTAAATATGAACAATATCAAAGTTGATCACCACAAAAGATATAAAGTCAGTAGACGATGTATTACGTAGAATTCATAATGAACAGATTCAAAACTCTCACGGGAACACTTTGAAGGCAACAGAACTATCATAAGTCCTTGAGAATTAATGTACTGAAAAACAAAGGACAATATTATTTAGGTGATAAGTACGAAATATGTCATCAGTTATCAAGATTCATTTGACTTGAGAAAATATTTACAAGTGAGGGGATAAATTTACATTGAGGTCTCACTGTTGTACATTCCGTGGGGTTTGACAAGTGTAAAATGATACATACCAATTCTTATGACACTCTACAGGTAGTTTCCCAAGCTTTAAAAAAGAAAAACCTGTGTTTCATTAAGAATGGATCTAAATTTCATTTTCACAAAGAACTTTTCAAAATAGCAAGATGGTCAATTGAAGAAATTTATTCAATATTACGAACAATAATAAAATATTATTGAGGTAATGGAGACTATGAAGAAAGACTAATTTTAAATTATAATGGAATTGAATTTAGTGTGACTTTATACCCAGGCCATTTATTTTTAGAAAAATAGTCTTTACTTCCTGTCACAATATGCTGTCTGTTAAAAAAATTAGATTCAGGTGAAAATAACTAAGAACCTCATCCTTCTTAGTTGGGTTAATCTTGGAACATGCATATTTTCTGCTTATTTTTTCTATCTGGATATTTTTATTAAAAATTAAATCGCACATATTGTTTTTTCAGCCAGAATACCATGAACAGAATTCCTTGAGTCAAAGATGTCTCACAATGTACTTAAAATGATCACATGGTATTCTGTCGCAAGAAATCAGAAATGTTTTATAATTCCATAGATGATCATGATATCATTATGTTTGTAGGAACATTGCTCGTTGTCACTGTTTAGTAGGTAAATAACTGAGAATAAGACAAATGATGTAATGTAATTTAATGGAAAAAATACTGGTCTTAATGGTATTAATTAGGAGTCTTTTTGTTTCTTTTGGAGTCACGCCTGGCGATGCACAGGGGTTACTTGTGGCTCTGCACTCAGGAATTACTCCTGGCAGTGCTCGGGGGACCATATGGGATGCTGAGAATTGAACCCAGGTTGGCCGCGTGCAAGACAAACACCATACCCGCTGTGCTATAGTTCCAGCCCCATAGTCTTCTTTTTACTTAAAGCAACACTCAGCTCTTTTCAGTTATCAAATCTTGAGCTTTGCTATTTAATATCTCTGTATCCCAGTTTTGTTGCTTTTAAAAATTAGTGGTCTTTGGGACCCGAGACATTGTACAGCAGATAGGGCATTTATTTGGCTTGCAGCTGACCCATGTTCAATTCTCAGCACCCTACATTATCCCTTGAGCACCCCTTGTTTGAACCAAAAGCAAACAAACAAACCAACCAAAAGAGCAACTGGTCTTCAGTAGGAAGCTTACCACTAGGGAAGCTTGGGGAAAGGAGGAAGTGTTGAAAGACAGTCAAGCATTAGGCATGACATCCTATTAGTAATTGTAAACCACAATGTCTAAAGTTCATATTTTTTAAAAAGTGCCTGTCATAAGAATCAGGTTGTCATAAGAGGTTGGAGGGAAGATTGAAGCATTGGTGGAGGGAAATGAACATTAGTTAAAGATTGGGTCTTGAAACAGTATATGCCTGAAATTCAATTATGAATAACTCTGTAATTTATGGTGACCTTAATAAAGGTTTAAAAAGGGGGCTGGAGCGATAGCACAGCGGTAGGGCGTTTGCTTTGCATGCAGCCAACATGGCTGACCTGAGTTCGATTCCTCTGCCCCTCTCGGAGAGCCTGGCAAGCTACCGAGAGGATCTCGCCCACACGACAGAGCCTGGCAAGCTCCCCATGACATATTCGATATGCCAGACACAGTAACAACAAAGTCTCCAATGGAGACGTTACTGAACCCACTTGAGCAAATCGATGATCACCGGGAGGGCCTTTACTTTACTTTTACTTTTAAAAAGTGAATAAAAGGTAAAGGTAAAGGCCCTCCTGTTGATCGTCGATTTGCTCGAGTGGGCCCAGTAACGTCTCCATTGGAGACTTTGTTGTTACTGTGTCTGGCATATCGAATACTCTTGGTAGCTTGCCGGGCTCTCCGAGAGGGGCGGAGGAATCGAACTCGGGTCGGCCATCTTGGCCGCGTGTAAGGCGAACGCCCTACCCACTGTGCTATCGCTTCAGTGAATAGGGAATAGTTTCTGTAATATTCTTTAATATGACTTTTCCAGCATGTAACACCAAATAGACAGCAATTTTAATGATATCCTTTGATTAAAATTGCATTAATGAAAAATTATACTTATCCTTCTAAGTCTTATTTTTAAACAAAGATGAACAGTTTTGGGTCATATTTTTTTCATAGAAGAATTGTCCAGCAATTATTTCTTTTATGTCTTTTTCTTTTTATTTGGTGTTATTTTTATATACCAGGGATCTTTAATTCCTCATCCACATAGTAGACTCTCTAAGGATGCCTATGGGTAAGATCTAAATTGTCATGCTTCAATATATAATGTCATACCTTTGTATCCCTGGCATCTACTCTAGTATTTGGTGCATAACATTTGTTCAATCAGTATATGCTGCATTGTTAAAGGAACGTCAAATGAACTTGTCTTCAAAATTAATTATTGGTGCAGGAAAACCTGATGATAAAACTTGTTAAAACTTGTGCATATGCAAAAGGTCACAGTCACGGTCCTCCCGTTGTTCATTGATTTTTTTGAGAGGGCCCAGTAACATCTCCATCGTGAGACTTGTTGTCACTGTGTTTGGCATATCAAATACATCACGGGGTAGCTTGCCAGGCTCTGCCGTGCGGGCGAGATACTCTTGGTAGCTTGCCGGGCTCTCAGAGAGGGGCGGAGGAATCGAACTCGGGTTGGCCATGTTGGCTACTTCTAAGGCAAATGCCCTACCGCTGTACTATGGTTCCAGCCACAAATGCAAAAGATACTGGTAAATAGAATAAGCTTATGCCACTGAAGTTGGGAGTGACAGAGAATTCAATACTTACCATCTTCAGTAGTAAAACCAAGGCAGTAGTAAGACTTAGCAGATATTTTTTGTTAAATGTGATTAAAAAATAACAATCCAGTTAAGACAATATTTTATACTGTGACAAAATCACAATGTTTTTAGAATATAGTATACTCAAGGGATGTACATATTTAGTCCTTACATAACACTGATCTTGGAGGAAAGCATTCAATATTGTCACTTTTCAATTGCAAATATAAAGCTCAGAAAAAAATTAGATGACTTCTCACAGTCACAGAGTTAGTTAGTTGCATGTCCAGAATTCATACTGTGTTTGTCCATATTCCTCATTACATAATGGTAGATTTCTTAAAAAAAATGATATTGTCTGTTTCCGAAAATTTGAGAGAAGGTCCTTCTTTTTTTTTCTTGTCTTTTTTTTTGTTAGTGAAACACCATGATGTACAGTTATAGACTTACAAATTTTTGTGCTTGGGTTTCAGTTTTACAATGATTGAGTACCCATCCCTCCACCAGTGTCCATTCCCCACCTCCAATGCTCCCGGAATCTCTCCTCCCCCACCCCATTCCACCTCACCCCTGTGGCAGGGCATTCCCTTTTGATCTCTCTCTCCTTTTGGGTGCTGTGGTTTGCAAAAGACACTTTGAGTGGCAATCATGCTTGGTGTATAGTCTACTTTCAGCATGCACCTCTCATCCTGGGAGGATCCTCCCAACACCTTTTATTTGGTAACCCCTTCTCTATCTGAGCTGCCTGAGTGAAGGTCCTTCTGAAGTTCCTTTATGACCCAAATGGATTCATAAGAAAGACTGAAATTGTTGTTTTCTTTCAAGGCCACACCCAGTTGTGTCAAGGAAGACTCCTGATTCTGTACTCAGGGATCATTCCTAGCGGTCCTCTGGGACCATATGAAGTGCTGAGGATTGAACACAAGTCAGCTGCAAACAAGACAAGGGCCCTAAAACTCTCTCTCTGGCCCCAAGGAGATTTCTGTTTTTGAGAATCACATTTAGACAGCATATTCTAAGTCTGCAAATTAATACTTTCTTGTTTCTTTTTCTTATATTTTATATCCATAGGCTATCTCTACTATCCGAACAGCATATGTAAAACAGACAATTTGATTTCACTGGTGTTAAACTTTTTATAAAACTCTCTCTTCTCTGATTTGACATGTTAATCCTAATTTAACCTTGCTGGTGGAATTGTTGGATGTCTCTGGAGTCTGTAAGTGGTCCATGTTGTATTTTGTCAGTCAGTGTGATACCTTTGTTCTCCTTTACAGAATCATATTAGAGGACTCCGTAGATTGGCAACTCCACGACAAAATTGTTCTCAGCTCCTCCTCTTATGAGCCTCATGAAGCAGAAGTCCTTACTGTAAAAGAAGTTAAGGGCCACCATATTTGGATTCATGAAAGACTCAAATACAGGCACATCGGTAAGGCAAGAAGAGTTACAGAGATAAGAAGAATATGTTTTGCAGTTTACCTTGGGTCTTTGGACTTGATTTGCCTTTTGTGTGACCAATAAGTACTATGGGGCTAAACTCATTCTATAGGGTGTCCTCTGTATAATTTTATTTTAGTGAATTTTTTTAAAAGTTAATTTTGTTTTTTTACTGAGCTTATTTCCCCTTTTTTCATTCTAATGGTATGCTGAGATATAGAATGGCTAAAAATTCTGTTCAAGGTCATTAAATACTTTCATGGCCAAGCCAGAATAGACCTCAATGTAATCTGAGTTTTCAGTTCACATTCTGGCATATTAAATCACACAGTACTTTGAATGAGGTAGTTATTGTAATTACCAACTTTTTCTATACTTCAGGAATCTCTGCTCCTTGACGTAAAATTAATTTTGTGTATTGACTAGGCATGAGACTACAAAAACCAAATTAAAGAAAAATCAAAGAGCCTTATGAATAAAATACAACATAAAATAAAAAATAAAATAAAAATAAATAAAACTAAAACATTTAAAAAAAACCCCCATATACCCATACTTAGGAAAAAAGTTTTGAACGTTTTCATTCATGACACTCAAAACGTATTGCATATTAACAATAAATAGCCTTAGGTTTTCCAGTTTATTCTAATAAGTACGACTAACCCAGGAGATGTAATAATAAGTCAGTATATTATCTGTATTGTAATAAAGCATAGAAATAGTGGATTTTTTTAAATTTTGGGAATATATTCTCTCTAATACTTAAAAAAGTGCCTGTTTTAAACAATATAACAGTTAGGGTATTTTTAAATCTCAGTTAGGAGGAGTCCTTCTTTTTCAGAACGTGACAAAGTAAAAAGAAGAGCCCAGCGCGACCCATACATAAGACACAAGATGCAATGCGGGTGGAGGGTCCTGACACGCTCCCGCCCTTCTTTCCCTCTTCCGGTACCCACCAGGAGAGGGCGCTGCTGCGGCCTCTGCATCCCCATCCCTGCTACATCCCTGAGCGCCCTCCGTGATTGGTCCAGCGGATCTGGGCAAGAGATGCAGGGACAAAGCAGAACCCACCGGTCTAGTGCTGATGGGCTGAAGACCGGAGGTGCGGGTGCCCCTGCGACGGGCGGGCAGAGTGAGCCCAGCCGTCCGCCCCGGCCCAGATTCAGGGGGAGGGAAAGAATCCGAGCTCAGCCCGGTCCGCTGGGCCCAGAGGCCAGGCAGGGGCTTTTCATTTCTCAGAGAGCGGCAGAGAGCGCCCCGGGTCAAGCAGGCCTCAGTGTTGCAGGGTTTTCATTTGTCAGGCTCGAGGGGTCCCCAGCTGGCCATTTCGGAAATTGGGTTTTCAAGTTGGTTTCTCTCTCTCTCTCTCTCTCTCTCTCTCTCTCTCTCTCTCTCTCTCTCTCTCTCTCTTGCTTCCCCCCCCCCCCCGACTCCTGGTGCCAGGAAGTGTCCATGTCACCGAGGACGGCCGAACCCTCCGCCTCGCTGCCCAGGTGGGACTTTTGACCCGAAATATCCAAATCCAGTCTGACCTGCCTTGTCAGGGGAGGCTGCTTGTGGGGTCCCTTAGGACGTCCAGCAGTGAACAATTTTCAGGTAAATGAAATTTGAAGTTCCTAAGCATTACCAATTGAAGCTTATTCATCTGGGACTCTCAGAACTTCCCACTGTGAGAATTTTCATTTATAAAACAAAAATGTTCAAATTAGATGGCTCCTTTGTGCTCGGAGGAGCGATGAATTTTCTGTCCTAATCTGTGCTTAATTATCAGTGTGATGTTAAAATAATATACGAGCTCGGCACATATGCACATTTTTACCTCAAAGAAAAACATCTTTTGCAGATGTGAAATTTCCTTTGCTTTGAAATTATAGATGATTTAATGAACACTTGAATTTTATCTCTTTCCTGAATTTCTATTACTCCTTCCCAGTAGCGTGCTTGTATCTGATGGCAGGCCTCAGCTCATGCCATAAATTAATAGCATAAATTTAAATTAAAGATGATTTCCATATTCTAGACTTTTAAGGATCAGTTCCATCTCTCTTTTCTCTCAAGCTGCACCTATTTGGGAATGTTGCGAAATTATTTTATTATTACTTTATTTCTTTAACTTAAGTGTTTCTTAAATATTATTTCACATGTTTTCTGGTCACATTATTTCCGGGAGGGCTGTCACTGTAGGTTGCTTCAATTTAGAAAGTCACTAAAAGTAAATTGAAACAAAATTTAAGCTCTGAAAAGACTTGGTATACAGGATATAGCCACCAGTATCTTAAAGCATAAGACACTTTTTTTTTGGTTTCCATGTCTGTTTTGCTGGTAGAGTGAAGACCTTTGTTTGTGGCTGGGGGAAATAGCTCAAAGGGCTGGACTGAGTGCTTTGCTTAGGAGACGCAGGTTTGATCCCTGCCACTGTAGCACTCCTCCTTCCCCTCAGCACTGAACTAGGACTTGCCCCTGAGCACAGCTAGATTCAGTCCCTAAAGCAAGAGACTAAAAAAGAGACCATTGCCCAAACAGATCAGCAAATCCTCTATGACTTTAGTAACATCACTGTGAGATGTAACATTTTTCACAAAGTTTCTTTTACTGAACTATTTTTTTCCTACTTGCTATTTTTTTGTAACAAGCAATATAAAGTAAGTTATTTTGTGTCTGCTAAGGGGCAAGCTTGTGGGAGGGGGATTGGAACACTGGTACAGAGGCAGTTACACTGATGGTGGGATTGATGTTGAAGCATTGAGTACCTGAAACAGCTGTATTTAAGCTGGTGTTTAAATAAACTTTCCCCCAGAAGACCCTTGTTTGCATTGTCAATCAAAATTTCAGGATTAGTCACATGCAAGGCAAACACCCTATTTGCAAATCTATCTCTCCGACCCTTAAATCTGAATTTCAAAATGTCTAGTTCATAGACAAAGTTTTTTTCTTCATTGGTTCTCCACAAAAGTCATTTTGCTCCCCCCCTTCCCAAATATTTGCAGTATCTGGAGATAATTTTGGTTGTTGTCCCTGGAGGGAGCTTCTGGCCTCAAGAGGTGATTAGATGCTAATCATCCTACAATGCAGAGAACATCCTCCCTGAGAAATGATTGCTTGATCCAAAATGCCGATGGCATTGAGACTGAGAAACCCTTGTCCAGAAGACGGGGCCTGAGTCCTGTAGAAGTGAGACCGTCCTGAAGCACATGAAGATGGGCCATGCAGGAGACACAACCAAGCAAGACTTACTTTTGGTTGAAACATTACATTAGGTCATCCTGAAATGAAGCTTGTTGCCAGGCTTAGGGGAGAAGGCACTTCTCAAAGACGAGCACCAGGTTCGAGCTGATTAAACAGCAAGACTGCCTTGTTTTCTAAGTTCCCGATATCACTGATTCTAGACTTACTAATTTATCGCCAGTGGAAGGGAACGAGAATGATTTGGGTAGAACTGGAACTACTTGGCTTTCATACCCACTTTAGCTTATTTAACCCTATATCACTGATTATCTTTGGGAGAGAAGGACCTTCCCCTTTAGTGAGAAGAAAGGAAGAGTGACCACAAAAATTACCTGTTTATGTGTAAATCTCCATCACACTGTTGTGAATGCCTTAGATTTACAATGCAGGTTTTCTTTTTATCCGTATTCCACATACAGTACCTGCTAGATATTAAGTACTCAATAAACGTGACCAAATAAAAAAAAATTAAGAGCAAAAAAAAAAAACCAACCAGTTATTGAAATGGTCATGCTAGCAACTCAAATAGAAGCCTAATTTTGAAGCTCTTATTAAAAAACTTTTAATTTTATCCTTATTTTAGCTTTATAGAAAAGTAGGGAGAGACAGTGTAGAGAGTTCCAGTATATTCAGTTTCCACTACTATAACATCTTACATAACTGTGTTCACAAATCACAAAATCACAAATCATCCTGTTATTCGTCGATTGCCTCGAGCAGGCCCCAGTAACGTCTCCTTCATCCTAGCCCTGAGATTATATTCAAGGCTCTTTAGGAGAATGAGACCCATCATTGTTACTGGTATTTGGCATATTGGGTACGCCACGGGGAGTTTGCCAGACTCTGCCCTGTGGGCAGGCTACATTCGGTAGCCTGCCAGTTTGTCCAAAGTAGGAATGAGATAATAAGATGTCATAATAAGATTCGCGGCCGCGCGGTTCCGGGAACTGGTTTTTATAGTCTCTGAGTTCTTGGCCGCTGATGGGATTACACAGCGCCAGGGGGCCAGTTGGTGGGTGTGACCCCCGCCTACTGGAATTTGGAGGATCTGGGTGGAGGATGCTCAGCCCCGATCGGAGCAGGCTTGGAGAGCTCAGCCCCGGGACCCGCGTGTCTTTCTTCCCCTGTCGGTACCTTCATGTGTGCGGAGAGTGGTCTCAGCATGGTGGTGGCTGGTCCTGGAGGTCTTTGGCTGCCGGAGCCCTGGCCGGGGCGGGGAGGAAAGCTCAACCCGCTCCCCTCCAAGGGGCCCCGGCAGCGAGGACAGTCAGGCGCGGGGGCAGGAGACTGCACTGTTCTCTTCTGAGTAAAAACTGTGTTACTGCACTGTTCTCTTCACAGTAAAAACTGTGCTACATTTATTTAGAAAAATTAACAGTGATTCATTACCATTAGCTTGACTCAGGACATATTTAAATTTCACCACTGTTTGCGTTAATGTCCCTTTTCCTGGTTTAGAATGTCTCCAGCATCCCACATGTGAAAAATTCACTCTTTGATTTTGCTGTAACATTCTCAGGTGCCTCCTAGATTGTGAGCCTTGTGAGATGAGGGGTCCAGGGCTAGGCACATCATTGCAGAGTGTGTGCTCTGCCACGTAAGTCATATCCCGGTCCTTACAACTCTTCACTTTTAAGTCGAGTCCTCTGTCGTTCTCCTCCATTCAGCAAATTGTACTGAAAATTGTGCTTCTCAAAACAAAAAAAGAGAAAGTGGTTGTGAACAAAATCATTGCTCGATTCTCCATTGCTGACGACATTTTAAGTATTTACTATTGATTACTTTCTAGTCATTGATTAGTGTGCACACGAATATAAAGATCTTGTCCATTTGAAAATGATGAATTCTAACCAGACGAATATTTCATAAAAGCATCAGTAAGGAAAATAATACAGGTGCATTATCTTGGCTGGGATTCTAGAATCAATTTCTATTTTTCGGAACGAACTATAAGCTGTTTTTGTGTGGGTTCACACTGGCATTTGTTCTCCTTTGTGCCAAAGTTCTATAGAGAGAGGGTACTGACAATATTTTTATGTTATTGGGAAAGAAGTCTTTTTTGTTTGTTTGTTTTTTGTTTTTGGGCTACACCCAGTGGTGCTCTCAGAGTTCTCCTAACTCTGTGCTCAGAGTCACTCCCTATGGTGCTCAGGGAATAGAACCATATGAAAGATAAGAGTCTAAACCCTTGTTCTATCTTTCCAAGACCAGCAAAGGCCACTAAACGATGTTTCAAAAGTGATTTTAGTGGACAAATAATTTGTGATAATTTAATCAGTCTGTGATTTTTTTTCCTACATCATCAACCAATTCAACTTTAGTCAGAGTCATTTGGAAAATTCAGACCTACTGGGATCTATTTTCCAGCCATTAAGAAAGATAATTTTCCTTCCTTTTTTTTTTTATCAGGACTTGTTTCTTCATGGAGGATGATGTGCAAAGATTCTAGTTTTTCACCTCTGAAAAATGACTGGGATATGTGTGACTAAAACACCATCGTTCTGTCCATTTTAAGTGAGAGCAATAACTCTAGATTACTTTTAGAAGTACCTAAAAGGAAGTGCAGAAAGGAGAGGAATTGACTCAATAGCTCAGTGGGCAGTGTTCATTGTCTGCAGGCAGGAGACCTAGGTTCTATCCCTGGTACCATCTGGTCCTAAGAGTACCCCTCAGAAGAACTCCAGAACAAAGAACTAGGAGAGCTAGGAATGGCTGCTAAGGCCTACGAGGTGTGGCTCGCACACAAACAAGAGCAGTGAGGGACAAACTGTGACCAACTTAGGTTAGAGCAACTGATGAGTAATTGGCATAGAGCTCGATGTGTCAGTCACCTGAAACATGCCCCAATGCTTTTATTCTGCTACATCTCCTACTCTCTGCATGTGCCTGTACTGTGGTAATCGTACAAAAATATACATTCATATCTTAGGTCCGAGTTCTAGAATGTTTCTTAGTAATTCTCTGCCTCAGTTTCGTTATCTGTAAAATGGGGCTATTTGACGATTTTGTGCCCGACTCAGAATTTCTGTGAAAATACAACATATAATTTATATGATATCTAATGTATATATAAGAGAAGTCTTAGATAGTATATGTTACATAATGAGTGCCAAGTGATTTAATGGTGATAATTAGTTCATATAATTTTCCCCATACAATCATGTTCCTATCTTTGTGGTAATAATGGTTTTATGTCTTATGAAGAGTAGATATATCAGTGCTCATTACATGTATGTTATATTTATCATGGACATATGCATAGTTATTTGTATATTTTATATAAAATCTTATATGTATATATAAATGAAATGTGTGTACTATATGTGCACACGTCATGTACATATATATATTTATATGTTATTTAAAAATTTTCTGGACCCAATATGGTGGTGCACTGGGCTAATTCCAGACTAATTGTTCTCAGGGATCTATCCTGGGGATGCTTGTAGGGCCTTATGTGGTGGCAGAGATGGAACTGGGGTTGAATATGGATTGGGCAAGTACCTTACACTTGTACAAACTCTCCAGTGAAAATATTTAAATCCGTTTAGTGGTTATGTCACTAAGTTATGTTATGTCACTGTCCTCCCGTTGTTCATCGATTTGCTCGAGCGGGCCCAGTAACGTCTCCATTGGAAATTTTGTTGTTACTGTGTTTGGCATATCATCATGGGTAGCTTGCCAGGGTTTGGCGTGCAGGTGAGATACTCTTGGTAGCTTGCCGGGCTCTCTGAGAGGGGTGGAGGAATCGAACTCGAGTCGGCCATGTTGGCTGCATGCAAGGCAAACACCCTGCCGCTGTGCTATCTCTCCAGCCCCTAGTGGTTATATTTTGCATTTTATTTTACAATAATGGATTAAATGAGTACAAATGAAATTTGCAATAGGACTAAGGAATTCACTTTTATCTCCTAACATCCCCGTCCCTCCCCCCCCAAAAAAGTAGAACGTCTTATTGTAAAAATAAGACAAGAAATATAGTGTGGTCAAGATAAAAAAAAATAGAAAAAATTAACAAGGTCCTTAGAATGATTTTAATTATTTTTAAAAGTTTGTTTGTTTGTTTGTTTGTTTTGAGGCCAAACCTGGCGGTGCCCAGGGCTCATTTCTGACTCCATGCTTAAGGAACATTCCTATCAAGGCTCAGGGGATAGGATTTAGTGCATAGGATCTAATTCAAAGCAGACATGTGCAAGCAAGTTCACTATTGGCTATTCTAGTTCTCAGCCGCCCAAATCATTTTTGAATGTTATTGATTCTATTCTGTTTTAAATAAGAACCTATTGAATATTATATTTTTGTACATAAAATGGTAAAGGTAAAGGTAAAGGTAAAGGCCCTCCCGTTTTTCATCGATTTGCTCGAGCGGGCCCAGTAACGTCTCTATTGGAGATTTTGTTGTTACTGTGTTTGGCATATTGAATACATCATGGGTGGCTTGCCAGACTCTGCCGTGCGGGTGAGATACTCTCGGTAGCTTGCCGGGCTCTCCGAGAGGGGCGGAGGAATCGAACTCGGGTCGGCCATGTTGGCTGCGTGCAAGGCAAACGCCCTACCGCTGTGCTATCGCTCCAGTTCATAAAATGAACAAAAGTAAAATTTGCTTCAATACTAAAGAAATGCTTAAACATTTCATAGACTAGACCATGTTCCTTAATAGAATATCTTTGTGGGGATAGCCGTGATCTTTTTGCAGGGGAAGGAACACACATGGTGGTGTCAGGGGCTATTCACAGCTCTGTGCTCAGGACTAACCCCTGTTGGTGCTCAGGGAATCACATGTGGTGCCAAGTATTAAAACAGGGTCAGGCGAAGCCTTGCCTCCTGCACTATCTCTCCAGCTTCATTTATGGTCACTGAGTCATAGAACAGAGTTCATGATTTTGAAGGGTGCGGCCAGGAACCCATAATCTTTTCCTATCTCTCCAGTTCCTTGACCCAGATTTGCAGATAAATGCACAGAAATTTTCATGACTAGCTCCGAAATCTCTCTCTCCTGTCTCTCCTTTCTTCTCATCGAATTACAATGCTCTCCATCTCAAAATGGAACCCTTAAAAGGCATTCATGTACTATTTGTACAGTTCAAATGAGACTCATTGGCATGTATTATGAAATCGGGCTGCTTCTGACATTTTAGTGAAAAGTGTATTTTGATATTCATAAATGGATCTTCCATCTGCCTTTCATGAGGGATGAAGAAAGGACATGATATTATGTATTCCTCTTTCCAGGTGTCCTTCAGCTTTGGAATGTAGAGATCAAGAACTTGGGCTCCCCTTCGTTTTCAGCCATTGAACTCAGTAATGTGTCAGCAGGATCCTGGATATTATCTTCTACCATCCACCAAAGCTGTGGTGGGGGCATTTATGCAGCTGCCAGTGATGGGATCATTTTGAATGACAACGTCGTGTTTGACACAGTTGGTCATGGCATGGATTTAGAGGGCCAGACTTATTTTCTCTCTAATAACCTTATGATCCTGATAAGACAGTCAACCTGGTCCACCACTTGGGTGGCTGGAATCAAAGTGAACCTAGCACAGAACATCACCCTCCGTGGCAATGTTGTGGCAGGATCAGAGAGACTTGGCTTTCATATCCAGGGCCACAGGTGTTTCCCTCCTGAAGATATTTGGTCTGACAATGTGGCTCACTCAAATCTTCATGGCCTTCATCTTTATAAGGATGGTGGAGTTGACAACTGTACGAGAATCTCAGGCTTCTTGGCATTCAAAAACTTTGACTATGGTGCCATGCTGTATGTGAAGAATAGTGTGGAGATAGAGAACATCACTCTGGTAGACAATGTGATCGGTCTATGGGTAACAGTCTATGTGTTATCTGTTCCACAAAGCTCTACAGAAAAGGTGCAGATTGTGCTCAGAAATTCCATCATTGTGGCTACCAGCTCCTCTTTTGACTGCATTCAGGACAGAATTAAACCTTGCTCTGCCAATTTGACCTCTAGTGATCGTGCTCCGTCTAATCCAAGAGGGGGTCGAGTTGGCATTCTGTGGCCTGCGTTCACATCCAAACCAAGTCAGTGGCCTAAGGATCCCTGGCACAAAGTGAGGAATAGCCATTCCATTTCAGGCATCATGAAACTTCAAGGTAGGATGTTTGGGTTTGTGTAAGAAATGGTTCCTGTATCGGTGCAGAGAGTCTTTAATGATATTCTGAAATTATAATAGCAACGGAGTGCAGTATAGTCTAGGTAAGGTGGTTGTGTTCTGTAGGAAACGTTCTGGGCATCAATAGCCACAAATATAAATAGTCATTTGTAATGACAGTGAATGAATTTTTTTTAAAAAGTCACTGCTGTAGAGTACAGAGAGGTAGTACAGTAGGTAGTGCACTCACTTTTTCAATACCCAGCATCCCCTAGAGTTCCCAGAGCTACTTCGGGAGTAATTCCTAAGCACAGATCACGAGAAATCCCTGAGAACTGCTGACTATGGCCCAAACACTAAAAATGAAAAGAAAAACTTCTGTTTATTTATGTTGAAGGGCTTTTATGGCAATTATTTATTTCAAATGCCTGACAAGTCTGCAGTAACTATTACATTTTTCTTTGATGCAAAGGAGAAAATTGACATGCATAGATTGTACCTCGTCTCTAGTTGTTTAGTAGTTGGTGGGATTGGGGTCATATGAGGGTTGAAATGATAGTGCAGTCAATTGATCAGAATTCTTTGGTACTGTTGTACTCACTGCCCACTCACCTAGTTTCTCTAGAAATTGTTTGGTCTTCCTATAAAATGAACGGGTCTTGACCAGGACTTTTATGACAATTACTGCTTTTAAAGACTTTCTTGTGCTGATAACTTTTTGAAAGTTAAGATTTGTGTTAACTCCTATAACTATCCTAGAGAACTTAGAATAGCTCCTGGACATATATTAAGAGTATTTCATTGTGGACTGGAGCGATGGCACAGTGGGTAGGGCGTTTGCCTTGCACGCGGCCGACGCGGATTTGATTCCCAGTATCCCATATTGTCCCCTGAGCAACGTCAGGAGTAATTCTTGAGTACAAAGCCAGGAGTAACCCCTGAGCATCGCTGGGTATGATGCAAAAAAAACCAAACAACAAAAAAAAGAGTATTTAATTGGGTCATCTGTATTGTTGGTTGATAGTAACATGGTCTAATGTTACATGTTTTTCAATGTTCTAGATGTCACCTTTTCTAATTTTGTGAAAAGTTGCTCTAGCGATGACTTGGATGTGTGCATTCTGCCCAATGCAGAAAATACAGGAATCGCACAACCAATAATAGCAGAGAGGACCTGGATGCTAAAGATCTCGGATAAAAACAAGTTTTACTTTCCTGCGTCACAATCCAGGTACCAGTTTTAATATTCACGAAAGATCACACTGGAAAGTACTTGGGGATTGTTCGTCTCACAAAACATGTTTTAAACAAATAAAAAAGATAGGAATATAAATAAGTCCTTTGGGGAAGACAACCCATTGATTGAATGGCTCCAATACCTCCCCTCTCCCATTTTCATGCCCTTTGATATACGGTTCTGCTTTCTCTTTCACGAAAGAGGCTATCTATCTCCTCTTTGAATCTGGGCTCAGCATGTCATTTTTTTCTGGCTCGCAAAAGGGCAGAAGTGATGGAGTGCACATTTTATTGATATTTTTTATTGTTTTGTCTTTATTAGAGTTGCTTGGGATCCTTTCAAAACTATTGGCAAAGAGTAATTGTAATTCTTTCATATTCCGTGGGGTGTAATGTTACTCATCTTGAGAAGATGTGGACACTTGTCCTTGTATAGGAACTCGTAGATAGAAGGAGATGTTGCTTGCTGTTGGGGACCCTTGAATGAACGATGTATCTTAGACAGAGATTGGCATTCAGGCTAGATGCAGCTAGACCCCTTAACCTATAGTCTGAAAATTTTCTTCAAGAGCACAAGTTAAATGAAAAATTCTTTGTGCTGTGAAAAACAGTGGGAAAGTTGAGAACAAGGATATTGGTACCTTTTATTTTTCCACAACATTGGGAAAAGCTCCTCTAATTGGAAGAAAAGAAAGAAAATTGCCCTGAGGAGAAAGTTTGTTTAGACCAACACTTGATCTCTTGAAAAATACTATTGAAGAATGGTTTTAATCTACATACAAAAAATGTTTATGTGTATAACATTATAATTTTATTACTACATACATTCGATGTTTTGGCACCTAATATTCTTAGATATGCAGCCTGTCTTATACTATCCAATATTCTTTCTACCAATCTCTTATTTATTGAATGAAGTGGTTATAAAGTTAAACGATGTTAGCATCTGATTTTTTCTATTGTCAAAGCCTGACACTTGGTAGACATGCAATAAATATTTAATACTATTAGGAGTGATACCTACACATATTGTAACAGGGAAAATAAAATAAATTCCTAATAATTCAATGTTTGAGTCTCTATAACTTATTTATATATTCTACTTGACTCTAAATTCTGAAATTCTGGAAATATAGTAACAATGCACATATTTTTATGTTTTTTAATTTTTTTTTATTTAATCATTTTTTTATTAGTGAAACACCATGAGGTACATTTATAGACTTATAAATTTTTGTGCTTGGGTTTCAGTTATACAATGATCAAGTACCCATCCCTCCACCAGTGCCCATCCTCCCCCATCACGGGTCCTAGCATCCCTCCCACCCCCCATCCACCCCCGTCTCACCCTGCCTCTGTGGCAGGGCATTCCCCCTTGTTCTCTCTCTCTTCTTTTGGGAACTGTGTTTTGCCAGAGAGGCATTGAGTGGCAATCATATTTGGTCTATAGACTACTTTTAGCATATCTCTCCCACCCTGGGAGGGTCTTCACAACACCCTTTATTTGGTGCTCTCTTCTCTATCTGAGCTTCCTTTTCACCTAGCACATGAATGCACATATTTTTGTCATCATTGTATGATTCCACAAGTAGGTAGTTATTTTTTAATATGTTTTTCTGGAATTAAAGTAACTTTATTTGAATATAGCTCACATATAAATTGATAGCTGCAATGATAATCTTAAAATACTGAAAAGTTCCAAAGTTTTACAAAGAGATGATCACATTCCCCTTGGTTGGAAGATTTGGGTACATTTTATTTTATTTTGCTTCTTATAAAATTAACAATCTATGTAAAATTACAAACTCGGGTCACCAGAATACTTAATAAGAATGTCTTTCTTTTTAACTATATAACTGGGAAATAATGCTTAGTTTAGAATTTTGTTTTCTATCTATGATATTCATTGTTAATAATAAAATCCTATTGGATAGATTTTTACAAGAAAAATATGACCGATAAATATTTTCTTCTTCCTCTGTGAAATGAGAAATTTTCTTTCTTCCTATGTATACAGAAAAGATTTGGAAATGCTAGTCTGTCCTGAATCAGATTGTGAAAATCCAGGAAAGTATCTCTTCAAAGACCTGGATGGGAAAGCCTTGGGTCTGCCTCCACCAGTTTCTGTATTTCCTAAAGCAGATGCAGAATGGACAGAATCCTTCTTTAAGACAGGTCAGTGGTTTCTGAATTCCATGTCTCCAGTGAGAGATCATGTTTGTGAGAGAGTTGTTTGATTGTATTGTCCATTGGGGGGTGGGGGGAATCCCAGAAACGAACCGAGTTCTAGAGTTGGAGTCTGTGTTACTATGGTACTCAACTCATAATCAAAGCAATATTGAGTGTCTACGAGATGTCGTGACATCACTGCTGTACCTTTCATCAAACAGCCAGTTTCTATGTTAGTGGGACAGATTTGTAACACCCACCTCTGTGCACTGGCAAGGCATACAATTCTCTCTCTAGCTTGATCACTTGGTCACTGTTTTCAGAGTTCACAATGTCCTGGAATAAGGTCCCCTGGATGATTCAAAGTTTGTCCTTACATTCAATTTGCCTTTATTTTCTTTGCCTCCTAATTGTCCCTTGAGGACTGAAACCTGGCATTTTTCCTCTTGTTTATGCAACTGATGCTCAATAAACTATTCGTTTATTTATTTATTTATTTATTTTTTTTCCCTTTATTTTATTTTATTTTTTTTAAAGTTGTAGATTTACAATTTTTTGTGCTTTGGTTTCAATTATACAATGATCAGATACCCATCCCTCCACCAGTGCCCATTTTCCACCACCATGGATAATATCCCTCCCACCCCCATCCCCCCATCCCCCCTGTCTCTGTGGCAGGGCAATCCCCTGTGTTCTCTCTCTCCTTTTGGGTGTTGTGGTCTGCAAAAGAGGCATTGAGTGGCAAACATGTTCAGTCCATAGTCTACTTTCGACATGCATCTCCCCTCCTGGGAGGATCCTCCAAACATCCTTTATTTGGTGCTCCCTTCTCTATCTGAATAGCCTTTTCCTCTAGGATACCCGGCTGGCCTCTAAGTTATGGAGTAATCCTCCTGGTGCTGATCTCAGCTATTCTTGGGTATTAATCTCATACTTTGTTACTTTATATCCCCCAGATGAATGCAATCTTTCTATGTCTATCCCTCTCTTTCTGACTCATTTCGCTTAGCATGATACTTTCCATATTGTACCACTTGTATGTAAATTTCATGACTTCATCTTTTCTAAGAGCTGCATAGTACTCCATTGTGTAGATGTACCAAAGTTTCTTTAACCAGTCATCTGTTCTTGGGCATTCAGGTTTCTTCCAGTTTCTGGCTATTGTAAAGAGGGCTGCAATGAACAAACAAGTGCAGATGTCACTTCGACTATACATTTTTGCCTCTCTGGGATATATTCCCAGGAGTGGTATTGCTGGGTCAAATGGGAGCTCAATTTCTAATTTTTTGAGAATCGTCCATACTGTTTTCCAGAAGGGCTGAACCAGTGGACATTCCCACCAACAGTGAAGGAGTGTCCCTTTCTCGCCACATCCACGCCAGCATCGGTTGCTTTTGTTCTTTTGAATGTGGGCCAGTCTCTGAGGTGTGAGATGGTATCTCATTGTGGTTTTGATCTGCATCTCCCTGATGATTAATGATGTAGAGCATTTTCTCATGTGCTTTTTTGCCATTCGGATTTCTTCTTTGAGAAAGTTTCTGTTCATTTCATTGCCCCATTTTTGGATGGGGTTGGATGTTTTCTTCTTGTGGAGTTTAACCAGTATTTTGTATATCCTGGATATCAACCCCTTGTCAGATGTGTATTCGGTGAATATCCTTTCCCATTCTGTAGACTGTCTTTGTATTTTGGTCACTGTTTCTTTGGAGGTGCAGAAGCTTCTTAGTTTAAGATAGTCCCATTTATCTATCTCTGTTTTCACTTGCTCGGCCAGTGGCGTGGCATCTTTGAAGATACCATTAGCTTCAATGTCATGGAGGGTTTTGCCAACTTTATCTTCAATGTACCTTATGGTTTCTGGTCTGATGTTGAGGTCTTTAATCCATTTTGATCTTAGAAACAATAGACTCGTATAGTAAAGTTGCAGGTTATAAAATCAATACCCAAAAGTCCATGGCTTTCCTATACGCAAACAGTGAGAGAGAAGAAAGCAACATGAAAAAAACAATCCCATTCACAATTGTGCCCCAGAAAATCAAGTACCTAGGAATCAGCTTAACTAAGGAAGTAAAGGACCTGTACAAAGAAAACTACAAAACGCTATTTCAGGAAATAAAAGAGGACATGAGGAAATGGAAAGATATCCCCTGCTCATGGGTCGGGAGACTTAACATTGTCAAAATGGCAATACTACCGAAAGCATTGTATAAATTCAATGCAATCCCTATAAGGATACCCATGACATTCTTCAAAGAAATGGAGCAAACACTCTTGAAATTTATATGGAACAATAAGCCCCCACGAATAGCTAAAGCAATTCTTGGGAAAAAGAAAATGGGAGGAATCAACCTCCCGAACTTCAAACTGTACTACAAAGCAGTAATAATTAAAACAGCATGGTACTGGAACAAAGACAGAACTGCAGACCAATGGAACAGGGTTGAATACACTGACATCTCTCCTCAATCATATGCTCATCTAATCTTTGATAAAGGTGCAAGTAATGTGAAGTGGAGTAAGGAAAGCCTCTTTAATAAATTGTGTTGGCATCACTGGACGGCTACATGCAAAAAAATAGGCTCAGAACTCTGCCTAACACCATGTACAAAAGTATTTATTTATTTTTAGCTGCACTCCTGGAGACACTGTTACATTTCTACCTACATAACCAATGAGACTCCTAAATTTCTTTCTGCTTTCTTGCTTCATATGGGTCTAAGGAATATCCCTGATTTTATCTCTATTTCTTTGGTTGATTCTTTTATGAATCATTTTAGTCTCCCTTTTCTGAATGTCTAATATTCCAGACCTTTACTTCAGACATTTTTTCTTCTATTTTTAAACTTGCTTTCAGATATAAAATTTAAATAATGTTGACAGCTTTCAGTTTTTATATCTAGCTCAGATTCTTTCCTAAACTTTGTTCTGGAATATTCAATTGACTCTATGAGAAAGTTGATTGATCCCTCAGATTTAGCATGGCCTAAATGGTATTCTTACATCTCTGTTTCATCTACAATCTTCCTCTTGCTGAATTTCCCTTCTAGGATAATTGATATTTTTTGTGGGCATATGTTAAAAAAAAATCTTTATTCTTTTTCTAGTGCAAACTCACTTCCACCCATCATTATCTTTCACCTGACAAAGAAATAGCTTTCTGTCTCTTTTGTTTCCAACTGTTTCTGAATTTTGTAGTCTATCCCACCCAAACAATTATCAGGGTGCTCTTTTCAACTTCCTAGTGGATTTTCTTCTCTTTCAGAATAGAATACAAATTAGAAGACTCTTGTAGTAACTTGTTCCCTCCTACCTCCCTCACTTCATTTTCTGTAATTTCTTTTGTTGTTGTTTTGGGGCTGTACCTTGAGGTGCTCAGGGCTTACTCCTGGCTCTGCTTGCAGGGCTCACTCTTGGCACATTGGGCTGGAGATGGAACCCGGGTCAGTTGGGTGCCAGGCAAGCACCCTACTTGCTTCTTTATCATCCCAGTCCCCCCAGTCATATCTCTTTATTCAAGCACTAAACTTTTCATTTTCCTGTAACATGATAAACATATCACTACCTCACAACCTTTGCATTGGCTATTTATTCTCTCTACTTCGGATATCCCAATAGCATTCTGTATAACTGTATCACTGTTATCCCATTTTTCATTGATTTGCTCGAGTGGGTTTGAGTAACATCTTCATTCGTCCCAAGCCTGAGATGTTAGCAGGCTTTCCTGACCCATCCTTCCCAACAGTGCCGTATTGGAGGCTCTATCAGGGTCAGGGGAATGAGGCCCGTTATTGTTACTGTTTTTGGCATATTGAATACGCCACAGGGAGCTTGCCGGGCTCTGACCAATAGCATTACTTTGGTATAATTGACTCCTGATCAAATGGTCATTCCTCAAAGATGTCACCCCCTTGTGCTTTATCTAAAATAATTACTTCTTATTTCTCTAGTCCAATTTAATTTTTAATCAGAGTTCTCTTGCTTAAAATTAATAGATGCACTTATTTACATAAGGTAAAGGCCCTCCTGTTGATCGTCGATTTGCTCGAGTGGGCCCAGTAACGTCTCCATTGGAGACTTTGTTGTTACTGTGTCTGGCATATCGAATACTCTCGGTAGCTTGCCGGGCTCTCCGAGAGGGGCGGAGGAATCGAACTCGGGTTAGCCATGTTGGCGGCGTGTAAGGCGAACGCCCTACCGCTGTGCTATCGCTCCAGCCCTATTTTTTCTTTTTTTTTTACTGTTTGCTCTTTTAGAACACAGACTTTATAAGGACAGGTATTTTACCCTATTCGCTGCTCATATATTTACCCTGTTCCCATATCTGGGGGTGGAGGGGGCGATGTTTAACCAGTATTGTTTGACAGACTAATCAAATGATTTAATTCTTAGTAACCAATAGATTTCTTATGATGGTGTTAAGGCATTGTGGGCTTTGGATTATTGTTTTAAGTATTTATTTGTAACATGAAACCTAGAAAAAAGGCATTTGGATATATATATATATATATATATATATACATATATATATGTATATATGTTAGTTGCTTCCATCCTTCTTCCATTTCAACTATTGTTACTTTCTAGAACTTGGAATTTGGTGAAATATATTTATGATAAATATTAATTATCACATATTTTTATGTTTCAACACTTTTTCACATTTCCCTTAAAAGTTTTCATATGCTAGAGTATTGCCTTTGCAACAGAGTGAAGGTTTTTTAGTTTTTTCTTTTGCTTTTTGGGTCACACCTGGTGATGTACAGGGGTTACTCCTGACTCTGCACTCAGGAGTTACTCCTGGCGGTGCTCAGGGGACTATATGGGATGCTGGGAATTGAATCTGGGTCGGTCACGTGCAAGACAAACGCCCTACCTGCTGTGCTATCTCTTCAGTCCCAACAGAGTGAAGGTTTTTACTATAATATTGGTTTTTAAAAAGTTAGTACTAAGTTCATGGAAATGCTAAGCAAATATTGTTTTCATATGTTGATTCTATCTGTTAAATA